TATGTATGTATATATATAATAATGTAAAAGCAAAGAAAAAACAATGTACAATCATTGAAAGTTGACTTGCGGAACACAAATTGATTAAACTATAACAAAATGAAATGGATATTTTGATAGCTCCTGCTATCTTTACCAAAACAAAGTGAGAAAACTTTTGAGATCTTACACATAAATAAAGAATAATAAATGGTATTAGCCAATCGGAACCAAGTTGAAGATGATACAATCTGTTGATTGGACAGGAAAATAAAAGTTCAGTGACAAGTTAATGAGCGAATTAATTATAATTAAACCGTATATGCATATAATATATATATATATATATATATTATTTTGAATCTGTATTTTGAATCTGTATTTGAATCTGTTTAACAATGAAGCCCCGGTGGTCAAATGGTTATCAGGGGCGGATCCAGGATTTGAAAGAGGGGGTTCAAAACGTTTCCAAAAATACCCAAAATAAAAGGGGGTGGGTCCTCCCCATGGAAAATTTCCCCCTTGAATCCGCCACTGTATGACTAACGCTCATGTGACCTAGGGTTTTAAAACAAATCGTATAGGTTATACTCGCGTATAATAGGACGTGGCTTAAAATAGCAAATTACAACTGAAAAAAAGGAGGTCGTCTTATACGCACGACATTCATATTTTAGATTTTTATAATCATGTTCGTCTTATGTGCGGATCGTCCGTAACACGCGAACTTACTACTGTAATGAAGCAACTAAATGTTGTATGAATGAAAGCAATTTTAAATACGGGACGATTTTGATGTTGAAGATTTAAAAACTCATAATATGTTATTATTTGGAAGATTACCCTTGCATTTGGCTCCATTTATCCAGCTAGATGCAGTATCAGGACCACACAAAATTAGGAATTCCGACCATGAAACAGGGAGTCGTCTTATAGGCCTACGCCAGACATACAAATATCAACCAAAAATCTTCTAAAACTCGGGGGTCGTCTTTATACACGGGTCACCTTATAGGACATACGCGAGTATATACGGTATACTGCTTATTACGTAACCCCTGCGGAAGTTCGGGTTCCAGTCACATGATCAACGGTTGGTTGTAACAATAAACTCGCAAGACTGCTCGCGACTACTAGATTCTACAAGTGCGTGGTTGGCTGGGTGGTTTTGGTCGGAAAGGAGAAATTTTCTCTGTGAATTGATTCTCGAACGAGATAATGAAAGCTCTCTAATGACTCAAGCTACAGTATGACCGTTTTTATATTTCTGATAAAACCAATTTCTTCTAATTTTAAATACGTTTCCCCTGAATTTGTGATAATTGGTTATCACGCAAGTGCTAAATGCGTGACACATTTATGATCTCGGATGTGCTTCTGCAAAATGCGTGTTTCATCCAAAATCACTTTGAAACGCGGGACTGTCCCGCACGATGCTTGACGGTTGGTAACTATGGCATAGATAACTGCCGGGCCCTAGGTAAAATTGGTAAAAATGCACCTGATCGGACCTAGAGACAGAGCCTTTAGTGGGGTCTACTCAGGCGAAACTCTTAATGCTCATACATTCTGAGATATTTTAAAACAGATACGGCATTTCAGAAATATCTAAAACATATTTTGTTTAAAAAATTCAAGAATATTGAGAACAAACTATGGTCAAGTTATATAAGCCTATATGTTATCGTTTAGGGCCTATTAGGCATTTTATGAATTTATGATATATTATAATATTGATAACATCAATAGAACATGTATAGGTGGAATTTTGTCCAACCCGTCGTGAAATGTAGGCCTACTGAATAGGCCTACTTAGTGCGTGTGAAAACACTTGCAAAAATAGTACTCGCTGCTTACTTGGGCTCGAATTCAACCCTGGACATCAGGTGCAAGCTCGGTGGTCTAGAGGTATGATGCCAGACTATAATCTGGAGAACTGGAGAACTGGGTTCGAGTCCCACTGGAGAAAAACTTTCGCACACACGGAGTATTCAGTACATTTTCACGACAATTTGGGCAAAATTAAACATATAGGCCCCTAATTGATTCTCCTGACGCAAATCCAGGTACTGTATTGTTTATTCCATCACGATAATAACAATTACCATTTAATAATAGAACAGTCATCTCGACCTACTTGAAGTGAAGTGAATCTAAAATGTATTTATGAAGTTATGATATTCTTGAAGTGTTTAAAATCGTACACAATAACAGTTGAACCAACTTTAAAATACCACAAATACAAATGTGCGTGACGATATTTGCTTTAGAAATGTGATTTCAAAAAGTGCATCACGCACTGAGTATTCAATACATATTCACGACAGGTTGGGAAAAATACATATAGGCCCCCTAATTGATTCTCCTGACGCAAATCCAGGTATTGTCTATTCCATCACGATAATAACAATTACCATTCAATAATACAACAGTTATCGACCTACTTGCAGTGAAGTGAATCTAAAATCTATTCGTGAAGTTATGATGAGCTGAAGTGTTTAAAAACGTACACAATAATAGTTGAACCAACTTTAAAATACCACAAACACAAATGTGCGTGACGATATTTTATTGCTTTTGAAATGTGATTTCAAAAAGTACATTAGTGGATTATATGTAAGGACTTGTTTTGTTGGGGCTTTTTTTTTACTTGCAGTGTGTGGGAAATTGGTAATAGGTACGGAAGCTTAAAGTGACCTTCCGCGTTTCCGAGTTTCCAAGATAATTATCATGGAAACATGGAATAAATACTTATTAAGACGTCTTTCCGAGATAATTTATCTCAGAAAGACGGATTTCCGAGATAAATTATCTCGGAAAGACGGAATTCCAAGATAATTTATCGTGGAAAGACGGAATTCCAAGATAATGTATCTTTGAAAGACGTCTTTCCAAGATAATTTATCTTGGAATTCCGTCTTTCCAGTATAATTTTTCTTGGAAATACGGAATTCCAAGATAACGTATCTTGGAAAGACGGAAGTCCAAGATAAATTATCTTGGAAAGACGTCTTTCCAAGATATGTTATCTTGGAAAGACGGAATTCCAAGATAACATCGAGGAGACGAAATTCAAAATTCAAAGATAGCATGAAAGCTGTAGTAATTATAAGGAAAGTTGAGCTACCTGTAACTTACCAATGGATAGGCCAATATTCAATTTGTTGAAGTTCAAAGTTGTGAGTGAATATTGTTGTATTTCGTTGTGTGTTGTTCTGTATTGTCACGCATTGTTCTGTATGTACGCATCAACATCTGCTTATTAAAA